ATATGTTGTGTTTGGTGGGGATGTCCATCATTATGATACAAGAAATAATAGAAACCTATATATTTCTAAAACAAATTATAGAGGTACAATGAATTCTTTATTCTTTAAGGGTTTTAATGAATTTAATAAACTCCCACTAGAGGTAAGAAATGTGGAGTCCTTGAATTCCTTTAAGTGTAGACTAAGAAATTTAATTAACTGATTATTGGTGGCTTTTATATGTATGTATATGTGTGTATATATATGTGTGTATATGTGTAAGTTATGGATATAATGTAGTTAATGTGTTTTAGGCTTAGTCAGATGCATGTATATTGAATGGTGTATTAGGGTCAACCTATTTCAATAAACAGATGTATTATTAATTTTAACCACTTACGCAGACCAATGGGATGCACATTTGAGGATCATTAAACTTACATATATCCATAGGTGTGCGTTAGGGCAATTTAAAAGGGGATCGATTTTTCGGTATTTTTTATTAGCGAATAAAATACGGAAATGCTGATGCCTTAGTCTTAATCAGTATCATCGAAAATATACCCACGACTAGTTTCATCCAAATCGTATACAGGGTCGTACAGAAAATTCATTTAATACAAATGTAAATAAGCTAAAAAACAGGTATAAGAAAACTCAGTTTATTTCCTTAACTTCAATGTAGCCACCATCTCTCCTATACATTCTTCTGTTACCTTTCTTATGTGACGATTTACTTTTTGTAGTTGTTCACGAACAATGTTTCGGCATGCCTCTCTTATTCGTCGTTTTAAATCTTCTATGTTTTGTGGACGATTGATGTAAATTTTATTTTTAACTGTACCCCAAAAATAAAAATCGATTGAGACCTGGAGGGCCAGTCCTGCAGCGGGCTACGAGACCCTATCCACTTTAACGGAAAATTAGTATTCAGCCAGTTTCTAGTTATTCGCGAACTATGTGCTGGAGCACCGTCTAACATAAAATATAAATTCTGTCTAGCGTCTAGCGGAAGATTGTCCAAAACATCAGTAAATTCCGTTTCCAAAGAACGTAACAAATTTTGAGCATTTAAAGTTTCTGTAAAAAAGGGTCCGATAATTCGATCATTAAAAATCGCGCACCAAACATTCACCTTATAAACACGCTGATTCTTAGCATTTATTATCCACCTGGGATTGTCTCTTTCCCTATATCGAGAGTTCTGTGTCGATACAATACCATTTGTAGAAAAAGTAGCTTAATCGCAATTATTTTTTTCAAAAAATTTCTGTAGTTCAGAAATTCGCCTTGCACCCAGAAAGCATAGTCTAGCCTCCTTAAATTGTCTCCTTCTAAAAGAGTGTGTAAAATTTTTGGTTTAAAGGCCTTCAATTTATTCTTTTTTCTTATGGTCCCTTTGTTTAAATTCAAATTCAATGCCGCCTGTCGTATGCTTAGTCGTGGATTATTCCGGAAAGCATCTAAAATCCTATTTTTGTGTAAGTTTTATCTTCGGTATTCTTTTGGTCTTACATGTGATACACTACCAGTCTGATTAAATATTTTATTAATTCGTGCCACTGTACAGTAACTTACTGTTCGATTGGGATGGCGGTGAAAATTCTTGCAGCTTCATGCGATGTAACATTTTCTCCAGAAATTCTTTAATTATTTCAATTTTGTCAGCAACTGAGAATTTTAATAACAATCTTGTTGATGTGTTATGTCAAAACAACTAAAAATTATGTAATTTCATTTGAACAAAATCATTTGGCATGGATCACTGGATTTTGCATTACTGTGTGGATACAAGATGTAATGTTATTTTTTGTATTAAATGAATTTTCTGTACGATCCTGTATACGATTTGCATGAAACTTACCGTGGGTATATTTTCGATGATACTGATTAAGACTAAGGCATCAGCGTTTTCGTATTTTATTCGCTAATAAAAAATACCGAGAAATCGATCCTCTTTTAATTTCCCCTAACGGACACCTATGGATATATGTAAGTTTAATGATGCTCAAATGAGCACCCCATTGGTCTGCATAAGTGGTTAAAATTTGAAAAGGATTGCAAATTTTTTGAATGGAATATCGATTCTGTTGTCGAATTTATTGGATTTTCCAGCACATCTAACATGAGATTCAAAGAATTTCCTTCATTTGTAACGCTTTTTCGTCGATCTGCAACACCCCCAGTTTCACATGAAAACGTTGCAATGTTTTTGAAACTGTTGATTTAGAAATACGTTCCCGATCGGGATGCAATTCATGAAAAATATCCACTATTTCACCTCAATTTCGTCTTCTATCACAAGATCATTAAAACTTCAATACGCTCGGTTTCACTTAAACGTGCCATTTTTTGCAAGAAAATTAAATGTATTTTTATTATCACTATTGGATAAAAGAACGACACGGCGTTGTTACGGAGCTAGACATTTACAAAGGTAACTTGATGGACTATAAACTTAATGGACTAAAATATTTCTGTATAATTTATAAAATGATTTTCAAAATTCGATATCACGAAAAAGGTTAAATTTAGATACCTGATGTGCTATATGAATTTTGCTTAGAATTTCGAAAAGAATTAAAATATGGAATAATATATAGGGTGTCCCATTAAAGAAAAAGCAACTTTGTTTCGTCATGACTTTTTCTGGATCTGGGCCGAAGACAGAGATATGAAGGCACCTTCACGAGGAGGTTCACTGACTGGGAGCGCTTCCGACCAGTAATGCAAGGAAACTCGCGCTCCCAGTCATCGATACCACCCATGATCTGGAGGTAGCAATCCTCTCCCTCGAGACTGACATTAAAAACGCCCTGACTCAGACTACGACGGAGACTATTGTCCCCCGACTGGCAAACCCCCGGGGCACCCTCCCCGATGACATAAAAAACTTAATACATAACAAACAACGTGCAAACAGCAAACATAATCCTTATCCCAAAACTCAACCAAGATCACACCTTCCCATCCAACTACCGGCCCATTAGCCTACTCCCGGCTATGAGCAAAGTGGTAGAAAAAATCATCCTAACCCGCCTAAAAACCCATTCCCAAGAACTGCGAGTCATTCCTGACGAGCAGTTCGTCTTCCGACTTAATCACTCCACCGAACTCCAAATCCTTCGCCTTACCGAGCACATCACGGCGGCCTTCAACAGGGGACAGTACACTGGTGCTGTCTTCCTGGACGTCACAAAGGCCTTCGATACGGTTTGGCATGAAGGCCTACTGATGAAAATTTTCACCAACCAATATCCCATATCCTTTACCAAACTCATAGAATCCTACCTACACCACCGAAAATTCCGCATCCAAATCCAAGACACCCCTTCCACCACCTGTCCCATGGAGGCGGGTGTCCCCCAGGGCACCGTCCTGTCCCCACACCTATACACCATTTACAACTCCGACATCCCACATCCCCCCAACACCAACATATACGCCGACGACCTGACAATCACATCCCAATCCGTAGATCCTAGATATTCCGCCTCCCTCCTCCAAAACTCCTTGAAACCTGGTGCAACAGGTGGAAAGTCAAAATTAATCCCAACAAAAGTTCGGCTATCCTTTTTACCAAACGAAAAATCCCACAAAACCTCGACAGACTGACACTATCCCAGGAACCCATCTCCTGGAATCGACAAACACGATACCTGGGCGTGACGATGGACCAGCGTCTCACGTGGAAACCGCACATCGTGGAGATGGTGGCGCGAGCGAAGACTACCAGGGCTAGGCTCTATCCCTTACTCAAAGGTGGAAACACCACCAGTTTAAGGAATAAGCAGCTAACCTACGCCTCCACGGCGTGGGGTCACGCGACAAAAAGCCATTTAAAGTCACTACAGGCTGTGGAAAACATAGCCCTCCGCACGGCCACCGACGCGCCCTGGTACGTAAGAAACACTGACGTATTACGAGACTTATAATACACAAACGCTGCACAGACAATAAGACAAAACGCTGAGAAACGGTTTGACGTAGCCGCTAGACATGACAATCCCCTCCTCAGGCAAGCCGTAGACATGACCGACAACCACAAAAGACCCAGACACCAACTTTTTGACCCTGGGTGACCACCCAAACGACATCCTCCCCTGCCCGCTAACCTTTTCTGTTTCAGAGACCGCCAGGATTAAGAAACGAAGATAACGACACACACACACATACACACCCCCCATACCCTCCTTAACCCTCCCCTCCCGCGCTAGCCTAAGGGCCACCTTAGCAAAGCGCATCCCAAGCTGCATAGCCGCACTACCCTACCCAACCATACCACACATAAACATGACACTACCCCCGGGGTTTACACAGACGAGCCGGCGAAGCAAGAAGAGTGCCAGAAGAAAGGGCCCTAGCCGGCGGGGCCCAGCCAGGACAAAAGGAGGTCCCACAAAGCGCCTACACCGGCCGCATTTGCGGTCGGGGTAGACGACGGATGGGGCCCACCTACGAAGGCTGTCCAGGCCTACACGAGATGAGGCAGGATAAAGAGGGATAATCCCCCTCGATCCCAAATCATTGAGGCCAATTTCTAGCCATAGAATAATGGCGCGGCGCGTCATGACTTTGACTGATCCTGTATACTTAATTTTTCTTTATTGTAGTATACTTTAAAAAACCCTAAAACATTTGTGTCTTATGACTTTTTATGATTTTTCAATATCTATCTTACTTTAGGAGATAATCGACCGTTTCCATACATATCAGTGACCCTGTATATGTGAGCGTGAATGTGTAATTGTTTACATCCGTATATCCATACAGTAGCATTGCGTTATGTCCAAATGTACTTAAAGCCTATCTTCAGAGGACGAATTTTTGGGACTTAACGGCCATTGAGACTTTTGATCTACACATCGAGTACTACCAGAATCCAAAGTTTCTGCAAGTTTGATCGAAAACTATTTTCTATAAGGATCCTGCGGGATCCTTTATAAAATCCTTTTTGGCAGTTACCTTGAGTTGGCTGATTATTAAATGTAATCTTAAGTACATATTTATTTTTTGCTTACCGAACAAAGCTCTTGACAAATTTTTTTCCTCATGGTTGCATACTGGGCTGCTTGTTGATAATAAATCCCTGGATGTTGGGTCTGGACTGCAGGCAATCCTAATTTAACTGCCTCATCAAATATGTCACCAAAAACGGAATATCTAGAGAATACAAAACAAATATATATTGAAAATACAAATTGAATAATTACAGAATGCAATATAATAACTGTATATTCCAATGAAAACCTAACCTTGTTTGTAGAAAAGGAAATTTTTAAACTCATTTTTTATGTGGATATTAAACATCAAAAAAATGATCAATTTCTCAGAAATCGTGTTAGCAAATAGAAACTTTTCCACCGTAAAGTTAAAGTAAATTTGTTTTTTTTTCAATGTATCTGAAAAATGTCAATTCAATTTACTAATTTTTTTGTAGCACACAAACTGTAAATTACATAAAAAATACGATTTTTTGGTCAAACCCATTTGTAGATCTTGAGCAAATAAATAATCTGCTGGAGAAAACATTTTTTTTATTCTATAGGCCACGAGGACGACGACAAGGACAAGGACGATGATGACGAGACGCCGATGACGATGATGATTACGATGATGACTATGATGACGATGATGAGGATAATGACGACTATGACGATGATGACGACGATGACGACGATTATGTCGACGACGATGATGACGACGATGACGACGATGATGATGACGATGATGTCGACGATGACGATGATGTCGACGATGACGATGATGTCGACGATGACGATGATGTCGACGACGATGATGACGATGAGGATGACGATGAGGATGATGACCATGACCGTGACGATGACCATGACCATGACCATGACCATGACAATGACCATGACAATGAGGATGACGATGAGGATGAGGATAACGATGAGGATGACGATGAGGATGAGGATGACGATGAGGATGATGACGATGATGACGACGATGATGACGACGACGATGACGACGATGATGAGGACATGATGACGATGATGATGACGATGATGATGATGACGATGATGATGATGATGACTATGATGATGACTATGATGATGACGAGGATGATGAGGATGAGGACGATGATGACGATGATGATGACGACGATGAAGATGACGAGGACGACGACGAGGACGACGACGAGGACGACGACGAGGACGACGACGAGGACGACGACGA